AGAACATGGCTCTATAGCCCGAAAAAACCCACAAGAACCTAGTGATCCATATTTACTTTGAAAGATGTCTTGTTTTGTTCACTAATGGTTACTCACAAATAAACTGAAATTATTATTATTATTTTACTGACACAAAAACACAGTAAACAAGATCTATATGCTGGATTTCGTATCACAAAATCACAAGTCAACACTTCCCAAGCATTTAGGACTGTGTGATGAATGATGTGAGCAGATCCAAGTAAGGTGGCCTTTTGCAGTTAACAGATCATGATTTTGTGATTATTATTATTATTATTATTATTTGTTTTCCACTTTGTATCTCTAAAAAAGAAACTGAAAGTGACTTATGGTAAAATCAATACAATGCAATTTAAAACCTAAAAATAAACAAACATTAAATAGATAATATTATATATTTACAGCATTAAAAATAAAGTTAAACCCAATTAAAAACCTATTCATAGCTAGAATCACAGTACCTCCTGACTTGATCTTAAAACAGACCTTCTCTAAAGCCTGGTTTAGGTCTAGACCAGTATTTTCTGTTGGTTGTGGGAGTTCTGTGGGCCAAGTTTGGTTCAATTCCATCATTGGTGGAATTCAGAATACTCTTTGATTGTAGGTGAACTATAAATCCCAGCAACTACAACTCCCAAATGACAAAATCCACCCCCCCAACCCACCAGTATTCAAATTTCGGCATATAGATATATGCCAAATTTGGACATATAGAGTGTGTTGCTTGTAAGACGGGGCAGCTTACAAGCAACACGCCCCAGATTACGATTTTGTTTGTTTATTTATTTATTTATTAATCAGTTTTATATACCGCCACTCTCCAAAGGCTCAGAGCGGTTCACAATATACACATGTAACACATAACATTAAAATCAAGGAAAAATTTGATCACCAAGCTTCAAATACCAGCCTAAATAAATAAGTTTTACAAGCTCTACGAAAGGATAGTAAATCTCGGAGAGCTTGTGTCCCCGCTGGCAAGGCATTCCACAGGTAAGGAGCCACCACTGTAAATGCTCTACGCCTAGTAGACATCAGGTGAAAGGTCCTAAAATTGGGAACTTCAAGTAAATTCTGGTCGTCTGAACAGAGTGATCTCTGGGGTTTGTAGGGGATGAGGCGGTCCCTCAGGTATTCCGGCCCCAAGCCATATAAGGCCTTGAAGGTAAGAATCAGCACACAAGGCAGTGACATCTCCAGCTCATCCCTTGTTTGGGTATCAGCCAGCACGCCAACGACTTAAATCAAGAAATAGTTTTCTAAGATCTACAGAGATACTCGCTGGAACACCTCAGCAAGCGAGAGTCCAAAAGTGGCAGCACCTCAATCAATGGCTGATACCAAATGAGAGACTCCCCCCTGGGCACACAGAAAACTGGGCGATTTGGAAGGCGCTGAACAGACTGCGCTCTGGCACCATGAGATGCAGAGCCAACCTTAGGAAATGGGGCTACAAAGTGGATTCTATAAAGGCACTTTTATGGCCAAACAATATAACTGGACAGGGGGCAAACAGATCCCACCACTGTCCCTCCAATATAAAGAAGACTTCACTGGCACATATATAACGTTTGAGGGGATGTCTCTCTATTTAAACTTTCGCTGCCACCATAAGTATAAGTACAGGAACGCTCTAGCTATTTAAAGATATTAAAATTACTTCTAGGACCACCAAACACTGTGTCTTCTTATTTTCTTCTTTAAAGGAAGCAGGTGAGGTTGAATGAAAAGAACTATAGCCACAAAGGCACACTGGACTCAGGCTTTTAAGTTTCAAAAATAACAAGGAAAGTTTATTGAATAAAGTACAGATTAAAGTGTAAATGCGGTTTAGTAAGCTTGGCTGTTACAGATAACATGTTCTGGTTCTTGAAAGCGTAACGGTTGCGTGAGAATGGTTCTTTCTTTGTTACAAACTACAAAATC